TGTGAAGCGCTATCAGTGACATTTTACAACGTTCCAAAGATAAATGCAGGACAGATACACTTATTTGTATACACTTCAAAGGGCTCTTTTATCAATGAATAAAGTTATTTCCCTTTACTGTAAGTGTAATGTGAGACTTGGGATGTTGCGACTGGTATCATTAAAAGTCCTTCCTCTTAATGGGACACCGGGGTAATTTAAACCAACTGGTGGTCTTCATCGGGCCAAAATGAGAGAAAGTGTATCACAAAGAGACGAGATATCCCATCATGCACTAAAACAGTTTTGGCAAAAAGTATGTGAGGTCATCATACATTACCAATTTCATTAGAAAAAAAAAACAATGAACCAGCACAATGCATTCACTTACTCCCACTCAGAATAGTTGAGGATCAGCTGGCACTCCCAACTCACAAACTGCAAAGGGTAATTCTCAAAACAGGCTAAAGTTGGGTTGAATTGTGTGGGTTTTTTCAGAGATTGTTACCATTTTATAATTACAATAGGTCTGAGATGCCGACGCCACAGGGGATTAGTTTGAATGGTCTAATCAATCAGTAAAACGATTCAAGGGGTTCGACAATGCAGATGCTTTTTTGGCTCCACACACAGACACAGACACATGCACACAGACGCACACACATCATAAGAGAAAAATAATGACCATTGTGGGTTTTCCCGGGTGGAACAAATGTCTGAATAAAATTTGTGAGATAAAGGTTTTTTATATATTATTTTGTTTATGCTCAGAGTTCACATACATATTTACTTGTCTGTTGGATTATTACAGATGAGTAGATTATATGAGATCTCTATTTCTGCTTGTTCATACCGTAGAAGGCAAATGTCTTGTTGTCATTGAGTCAATTTACTGTGTATCCCTGGGCAATGATTTAGTTTCTGCATCTTTCTATCTATTGAATTGTGTTTATAACATTTGTTCCATGTTGCTCAAAGTTGTGCTGCATGTATAATTAATTAGTAGTGTCCCCTTTCTCCCTCCAAACCAATTATCCTTCCAAAACTTGAATGAACACGATAACATCTGATTTGACGGTATAAACAGACGAATAGCAACTTTTCATCTCAGTCTCACATCTTTCCCACAGTCGAAAAACAAGATAATATTCACAGATTGAAGTCCGCTCTTGGAGCATCGGGTGTATTCTGGTTTGTGTATCTCTGCTCGCATAGAAATCAAAAAACCTCGTAGTGCTGCTTTCAAGTGCATTGTGTCTATTACAGCGCTTCAGAAGGCACCTTGATCTATAAACGAGGAAAACAACGCTGGAGGAGCAGAGACACTCCAGTGGCCATTTGTCACTATTAGTTTCCATTAAGTTGATTTGAGACGGTGAAAGAGAACGTTGTCCCCGAGCCCGACACTGCAAAGTTATAGTGTGGCCTAGAAGCTCTCTCACACTTTACCCCTGGGCAATCCATTAAAGCAAAAACACCCAAAATGACCAATAACAGTGATGGTTGGAGTCAGATGGACAAGCGGCTTATCAGCGGTCGTCACGGTGATAAAGTGCTGTAAAAACACACACACACACACACAAAAGAGAGAGTTTGCGTTGGTGTTGGTCACATATAATGAAAGATCGTTTTGGGGCGCGAAAAGACCAAGCATCAGTCTTGAAAGTCTGACAACATAGTATTTCAGCAATAAACCTTGTCCGACGGGGGACTATCAAGTGACAGGGATAGCCGCAAAGGTTTTGTCAGTGTTTAAGGCAGGGGAGTCCAAACTTTTGAGTGCGAGGGTAGTTTTAGTTCAATGAGCAATCAGCGCTGCATAGTTGCACCACTGTTCAAATATGGAATTAGTTTGATCATGGTCTTCATCCATTTTAAAGCGTCTCTCCCAGCTTTAAATCGTTATCTTATATGTCAGAGGCTGCTTGTCCTGGACATTCTTTATGTATTCAGACTCTTAAATCCAGGTCTTAGAATAGTCAATGAGTCTTGTGGCCCCTGGAAAATCTATGTTCCAGCTTCTTCCATCTGGCAGGATACATCGTTTTTTGAGATGCAGGACACTTCCACAAGTCTCAATTAAGACAGTGTTCCTCAACCTGTTTAAAACATGGCACATTTTTGTTATTGAAAACAATCTCATAGCATAGCACCAGCTGAAGTTGATAATATATTTAAACTCTACAGCCTTTATAAACAAAGCAAAGTCTTTCAAATCAATGTTTTGTATATAGAAAATCAAACTAGCATAAACAAGTCTTTCTAGTTGTCTCACATTATTCTATTGTTAATTTTATTTAACCAAGCAGATGATTTATGGATTATTTTTAAGGCACACTAATAAACACCTCAAGGCACACCAACGTGCCATGACACACTGGTTGAAAAACGCTGAATTAAGAATCAAAATTTAATTATTATTTAGAATTATTTTATTGCCATGTCAGTAACAGGAAGTCACAAATGAGGAAATTGCGTTGGCTCTTGGTGCAAACAATTTAAAGCAGAATAAAAACAAGAAGGCGTGCATAAATAAAAATCTACATACATATCTTCAGTCTACTACATACAAGTGCACTAGAGAGTACAGTACAGCAAAGTGACAGTAGTATAAAGTGACAGTAGTATAAAGTGACGGTCATAAGGGCGGAGGTCAGTGATGGTTTATGAAGTGTTCATGAGTCCAACAGCAGAGGGGAAGAAACTGTTCTTATGGCGGGAGGTTCTGGTCCGATGGATCGTAGTCTCCTGCCAATCGTAGGGTAGTGGTTGGAATAGTCCATGGGCGGGTTGAGAGGGGTCAGCAGAGATAAGTACTCCACAGAGGTGATGTGGGAGTCCATCAGGGAGGGTGGGGGCGGGAGGACTGTGCTCTTCCTGAAGTCCACAATCATCTCCACTGTCTTCTGGGCGTTGAGCTCCAGGTTGTCACCACTGCACCAGGACACCAGCCGGTCCACCTCCCTCCTGTAGGCGGACTCATCGTTGTTGGAGATGAGTCCAATGAGGGTGGTGTCTCAGATGCTTTATTCGTCCTACAATGGGGACATTGTAGTGTTGAACCAGTGTTGAACCAGTGTTGAATGGGGAGTATACATTACAAGATAAGTTAACATTAACTCTATGCTATAATAAAATAAAATCTTTATCTTAACTTATTAGAGAAGCATAACCAGAAGGGTCCATTGCAATAAATATATGCATATATTTATTGTACATGATGGTACGGACATTAGTTACATTTTTTGCACAGCATTTGGTCTGTATATATTAATTACTGATAACGCCTGTAAATCATTGTTATGTATTTTTGGAACTTCTGAAATCTCACTATGGATCTAAATCAATGCGTTGTGATGAAATGTACAAAAACGAGTCAGCATACTTCAAAGTATTGATTTGACCCTTTCTGTGACTTAACCGTCAATGTGGTCACCTCAATGGTCCCACTCAGATCCCGGATAATGATTTTACCTCCTTTTTTGAGCCAACATTTCTGTGCAATGCTGACACACTGACTTATCCCCTGTAGTAAGTAACAACAGCGATAGGAGGAGCCCAGAGGAGAAATGGCATCTTGGCTTTAGGAGAATATTGCTCAAAAATATGTGGTTCACTGCAGAAGATGTTCACACAACCAGTATTGATAAGTGAGGGGTAAATGCGTTATCATTCATGATCTCCAGAATATGATCAAAACAATAGAATCTCTGGGTGTGTAAAGGTTCAAGGTAGATAGATCTATAGACCTTCATTTCCCCCCTCGAGAAATTCAATTCCACAGACTGTCACTCATACAAGAAGGAAATTATAACAATACAATAGACAAAAAGATACATAATACATGTGCAATACAGGCACATGGACAACAGTATATGCTAAGACACGTGTAGCATAATTGTACAGTAATCATGAAATGTTGCAAGTGAAAGATTCAGTAATGAACCAACACCTCAAGTATTCTGACAGAAAATCATTAAGCAATCAGCACTGCACAGTGTGCCCACTATTTAAATATGTAACTAGTTTGATCAATATCTTGATGGTCTTGCACTTCTGCTTCATGGAAGTCGACGCATAGCTGGTGGCTATACAGTCACCTCTGCAGAATAAAAAAGTAGCCCGGAACCTATAGAACACATGTGGACCGGACCTGTGTTCTATAGGTCCTGGCCCTGGTTCACTTCTGTTTTCCATCAGAGAAGAGCACGTTCAAATGAGTTCAATGTTGAAATTAATACATTTTTAGCCCTTAGCAAAAGTGAATAGAAGTACATTTTTGGGTGAAACACATAACCATAGCAACACCCTGTTTACTGTCAGCAGTTCACATTTTGCCTTTAGCACTAGTCATTCGTCAAATTCATGTTGTAAGTTCAATTTGTGGTATGGCTTTCACACAGGTGTCACTATCTTCTCCCACTACACTGTCACAAATGAAAATGAGTTGTGTGTGTGTGTAAAAAAAAAAAAAAAAAAACATTAAAATAAATATATATATATATATATATATATATATATATATATATATATATATATATATATATTGGCTGCACGTGGCCTGTCACCGGTGAGGAAGGGTGTGTGCAGTTCTGGTTCAGGGCTTTGGTGCGTTGCTGGTGTTGCCGTGTTGTTACAGTAGCATTACTTTGCTACTGGCTCTGGATACACAGATTTAGGTGTGATAGTCACAGAAGTGCTATAAGATTTATAAGATTTTTTCTACCTCCCATTCCTTTTTGATTTTGATTGATGTGCAATATTGTAATAAGTAATTGTAAATGAATGACTTGCTGGAAAGTTCTATGTGCTGACGGCTGATAATTAATGTTTGAGGTACATCAAACTCGAAATAAATAAACACTCAAGTTCAAACTCATACATTTTTAGTACTCCTTAGCATTCCATTCCTTTGAATGAGAGGAGGCTCTGGGCTTTGATTTCTAGTAGTTTCTGTGGGAGTCTTATTCAAAGTAATTTTCTACTTTCTTATTATACTTTCATTGTGTTCTTCTGCACAGGTGTCGTATGCATCTCCCAGTCGGTCAAGATTCCCAGAGAACCAAAGCCGACAGAGTTTGACAAGGTCATCCGCCGCCTTCGTGAAAATCCCAATGCGAGGGTGGTCATCATATTTGCCAACGAGGATGACATCAGGTAAAACGCTGTAAGGGTGTAATGCAAGGCAAGGCAAGATTATTTGTACAGTTCATACACAAGGAAACTCAATGTGCTGGGCAGATCTAGATAGAAACAATTACACAAGGCATTACGATCATAAATAATAAGTACATTAAAAAGAGTAACGACTGTTTTAATGTTCATTAGAACATTGTCAGAGAAGTAACCTGTCTCACTTTTTCAGTAAGACTGAGTCTTGGCGAGGCCATGGAAAGACTTGGAAAGACTTGTCCACAAGCAGAGCTGCTTGGTAGTCTATTCTCTGCTTCTTCATGTGAAGCAGAATTCACCAAGTGTTGGATTGCTCACGCACTAATAGGGAACGTGAGCTGGCATTAGACTGTCATGAGACAGGTTATGTGTTGTTGCAAAAGTAATTCTGGTGAAGCAGCGGTTCCTGGTTCTACTCAGGACTCGAGATGTAGTGTTTTGAATCTACTGCAGCTGTTTTAGTGATAGATGTGAGCAGATCTATCACTAAAACAGCAGATGTGATAGTAGTCGAACCTATGGAGACAAAAGCATGGATAAGAATCTCAAAGTCTGCTTTAGACACTATATTTTTGATCCTGGCAATGTTTTTCAGATGGTAAAAAGGTGCTGATTTGATGTGGCTGCTACATTTTTTAAAGGCTGGAGTTTTGAAAAAATGTTTGAAAAGAGTTTGAAGGATGCAGCCAGACCTGTGTGTGATGAATGGCACAACCGAATCAAAGTGTGGGTATGGGGTCAGCGTCACCTTATCCCTGTGAAACATCTGTTTGCAGGCGGCTTCTCCAGGCGGCTAAAAAGGCCAACCAGACGGGACACTTCATCTGGGTGGGCTCCGACAGCTGGGGCTCAAAGATCTCCCCGGTCCTGCACCAGGAGGAGATGGCAGAGGGGGCAGTCACCATCTTGCCTAAGCGCCAGTCAATCAGAGGTACACACCACAATAAATCACAGCAAATGCAGGAGAGGACCGTTTTTTAGGGAATTTATTTAGTCTGAAGGAGATGTTTGTGTTTAGTAGTAGTAGTAGTAGTAGTAGTAGTAGTAGTAGTAGTAGTAGTGGTGGTGGTGGAAGAAAGAGTAGTAGCAGTGGTGATGGTAGTAGGAGTAGTAGTGGTTGTGGTACCACTGCTGCAGTACTTGTTGTATTGGTGGTAGTACTATTAGTAGTAGTATGTAGTAGCAGTAGTATAAATTCAGGTGTCTAGCAACAGAAACACATCCATCCATAAAAACACACACATCTAAAAGTAATAAAGTGCAAATTTAAGGTCACAGCAGCAGAGGTTGTGTAGGCAGTTGCAGTAGTAGTAGAAATAGTGGTTGTAGAAGTAGTACTGGTAGTAGAAGTAGTAATATTTAGTGTACAATAGATAAAAGACAATAAACTAGATTCAAACACATAAACCACAATACACATTCAACTTATCTAGAGTTATTTAGTGACTTATAACAGTTTGAACTTATTTAGTTCACCCTAACCCTAACCCTAACCCCTCGGACTCAAACACCACAAAGACATACCATCTCAGACACGGGTCCAAACACTCTCTGACCCTACGTCTTTCCCCCTCATACCTCCCAGCTCTGCCCTGAGGATATCACTGCCTTTCCTCCATATTTTTAATTCTCCTGGCGAGTTAGTTTAATCCGTAAAATCAACAATATGTAAAAAAGAGACAGTATAATTGCAAAGATTATTACTTGGTTTAGTGGTTTAATTTAATGTCATGCAAATACCGCCACTACCCCAGCACAATACAGTACGCAACCTTGTTTTCTGTTTCATAACTACATTTTGTTTGTCCCTATAGAAAGAGTATGTTTAAGCAACATTTGGAGAACAAATCAGTCGACAACATATCGTCTGCCTCTTGAATTTTTTTTACTTTTGAATACTGACAGCTTATTCGCTGAGAGAGGGCTGGTACTATGTTTTTCACTGATCTAAAGACGTGCCATAAGCCTCAAATGCAAACAGTGTACTACAATGCATGTGAAATTTTATTGAGGATCTGCTGTTGAATTATTTTAACATTACAAAGATTACAAAAGTACTCCATCTTACATTACAACATTATGTCATGAGAATTTGGTCAAGAATCCCACATCCAATCATAAACAAAATCAACACACGAGAACGGATAAACTCAAATCAATCAATCTCAATTTTATGAAAAACAAGGTAGAAACAGAGCTTAAATCAGTCGCCCCCAAAGCGATTCTGTGATGAATATTTGTGTTTCCTCTGTCCAGGCTTTGATCGCTACTTCATCAGCCGGACTTTGGAGAACAACAGAAGGAATATCTGGTTTGCCGAGTTCTGGGAAAATAATTTCAGCTGCAAACTCAGCCGCCACGCTGTGAAGAAAGGCTCCGGACTCAAGAAGTGCACGAGTAAGAGCTTTCCCTCTGTGTGTGTGCGTGCGTGCGTGTGTGTGCGTGTGTGTGTGTGTGGTTTGGGGGTGATTAGTGTTTCCTTTCTTAAACTGTTAAAAACAACAACACTTTCCAGGACGCCTTAAGAGAGGTGACGCAATTCATCCGAGGTGTTTTCAGAACAGAGCCTGGTCTCGAGCATGAGCTATGTTCTGCACACTGACGGATTCACAGTTTATCTCACGGCTTTGCTTTGGCGACTGTGGCCTGCTCCGACTCCGGACATGAAATTCAGATTCAGCTTTGTGGAGACATGACTTAAAGAAGACTGTTGTTGTCCTTGTATCTCACTGCTGTTATTGAGATGAATAGTTCAAACTGCTTAACTGAAATGTGACATCTGCTTTTGTCCTTGTGTCAGTGAGGCTCTCTGGTCTTTCTGGTCTCCCTCTGGTCTCTCTCTCTGGTCTCTCTCTCCGGTCTCTCTCTCTGGACTCTCTCTCTGGTCTCTTGCTCTGCTCTCTCCCTCCTGTTTCTCTCTCTGGTCTCTTGCTCAGACGAAAGAAGCTGGAACATGCACTGCAAAAATTGATAAAAAAATAAGTCAAAAATTGCTCAAATTTTGCACATTTGGACTGCCTTAAAAAAAGATTTGTCAATGGGATAAAGCAAAAGAATCTTGTTTTGAAAAAGACACACGGAATGTCTCCCTGGGAATGTCTCCCTCCATGATAAATGAAAGCAATAGTTCTTGAAAACAGACTAAATGGCTTTGTCCCGTTGGCAAATCTTGTTTTAAAACGGTCAAAACAGTATTCAAATTAAGATTATAAAAACACACCCGATTCAAGCAGTTATTACCTCTTATGTAATATTTTTTTGGTTCTTAAGAAAACAAAAAAGTCCCCCTCTGTGTGACAACAAAGATGCTCCATGATCTCCTAAATGCTGTACACTTTTTATACAGTGACCTGGCTTCCCACAGATATTCACCTACGTCTGTTATTCAGCTTTTTCCTTTTGTTTTTTTCTGGTATTGATTAAAAAGTCTTATCTCGCATATACGGTTCCAGGGCACCACATTTGTCTGCTTCACATCATATTTATGAAAAAACCTTTAGCCTTTTATTGATAGATCTTCCTTATTAGTCCCATTATTTGTATTTTAAAGTTGAGAATACAGAGCTGAGTCAAGGCTGAGTAAACAATTACAAAGTGCATTTTCTCAAGCAGCTGCATTCAGGAGAAACCAAACCCTAAACCAGTATTTTTCAAGTATTTTTTGAGCCAAGGCACACTTTTTTCATTGAAAAAATCTCGCGGCACACCTCCAGGAGAAAATGTAAAAATATATACTAATGTAAAAATATATACTATACATACTCTATGTGAGATCAATAAGGTATATCTTATCTTATAATATATATACTCTGTAGCCTATATTCACAATATACAGTTATTCTCATCAAAGTGCTTAAGTCCAGGCCTTGACATTAAGCTTTATTTAATATTTTGCAGTACAATGAGTTAACAAGAGTTTGGGAATAAAGTGGCACTAACTATGGAAAAAAAAGAAAAGAAAATCCACTCTCTGCCCAAATAGTCAAATAATAACTCTCTTAAGCTCTTAAGTACACAAATAACATTCATTGTTAGTGCATGGGGAAAATTTAGGTATCCGAGCTTTAAATTAAGGAGATTTGGATGAGGGACACGGGAGGTCCTGAACGCGAGTCCATGGTTCTGTCCAGTCTGCATGTCTATGGTTCTTTCTGCGCGTCTATGGTTCTGTCAATGCGACTATGGTCTGCGCTCAGTACCCAGTTCGGATGTACGTTCGCGTGAGATGTTGTACAAAAACTGTACATTTCATAGTTAAACCACTACAACGCGGCCACAACTGCCCCAGGGCAATGGCATAATTCCATTTCAAAAACGTCTCCATCACTTTTACTTCTCACTCGCCACAAAGCTCTTGTCTCGTTACCTCACACATTTGTTGGTCGCATCCAATTTTACGTTTATTGCCACAATGCTCCCGCTACCTTTTACCAGTGGGGGCGGGACCCGGCTCAAAAGTGGCCAAAATGATGTGCGCTGACATGCTTGCAATACCACCCCGGGCCGATAGGGGTGGACCCAGAAGTAGAATTTGCCAATGCTAACATATAGCATTGACAGACCTCTCAAAAACATCTTTACAGGATGGTCCAAAAGTTGGCTCTTGGCCCAAAGCTCCGTTCCACATGTGTGTCAATGCTGAGGGGGGTGAATTTTGTTGGTCCACTCTAGTTTACTTGCTGTGAATTTTTCAAGTCTCTTGTTCAAATGAATGGAGCTGCGCCGGCTGACGCATGCGCAGATGCGTTTTTTCACAATTTTCTTGTGGGCGGGACCACTCGCGGCCATTTTGGATAGCTCCAGTAGAGCACATTTTTTGGCCCATTAGTTAGAACAGCGGAGATAGGCGTGACTACGTCCGTTAATACATACAGTCTATGCCTGTTACATCCAGTGGTCGCATCCAATTTTTCAGTTTCAAAGTACTTAGCTATCTGCTGCCATCTACTGATATGAAAAATAATAGTTACTCAGCGAATGCAGTTATTTTCAGACAAAGTAGACGAATTTCTCACGGCACACCAGACAATATCATACGGCCCCTGGAAAGTACGACAAAACTTCAAACTACATCTACCACAAGCGTTAAGGAAGAACAATCATGTTTTAAAACTAATCCAATGCTGTTTGAACACTTTTAAAATAACAACAACATCATGTATCCATTGGCTCTCACTTCACAGTTGTTTGTTCACCTTCACTAAAATACCAAATCTTGATGTTTACGCTTGTGAATTGCAAGTTGTATTAGTACTTTCGAGAAGCACAGTCACTAATTTGAATATAAATCTTCTCTTCCTAAGAAAAAATTAAATACGTGCACAAAAATAGAATTGAAAAATGTAGGTACTAAAAACTAGAATCTAGTAGATTTTGAATGTCTTTAAACAAGCTTTGTCAATGGGACAAGTAGTATAGTATTGGCAATGTTTTATTTTGTCAACAAATGACTACAACATGATAGAGAAAGTTAAGGATCAGTGATTGATAATGTCAAAGAAACTACACTGCAAAAAGCAAAAATATCTTATTTTAAAAAGATTCAAGACATGTCAATGAATGACAGTCAGAATGTACTCAAATGAAAGTAAAGAAACTACTCTATTCAAACCGCACATTTTATAATTTTTTCAGAGTAACCTTGGTCTGAAATAGATAGATAGACAGATAGATGCTTCATTGATCCCTCGTCGGAGAAATTCAGGTGTCCAGTAGCAGCAAAAAATAAAGAAATAAGATTCGTCTTATGTCTGTCAGGATGTATTCTTCCAGAGTAGTATTTTCTGATAAGATGATAAAAAATAATGATGAAAAGCTTTAAAAATCTGCTATGAATGAAAGTCCTAACCCTACATGACGCATGAAGCAGCTCAGGCTTCTTCTCAGGAGCATTTTATTCACACATATAAATGAGTTTTGCCTCCGAAAGCACATTCGCAAATAAAACTCACAATCCGACTCGCAATTAGAAACACATTATCTACTTCCTGTGACGGGGGGATGCACATTCAATTTCAATTAGCACTTCCTAAATTAGGGACATTTTAAAAAGCTAACGTCATTGGTCGATTGCGTAGTATGAAGTTTTTATCAGGGTGGCATCGGTGTTATTTTTGGTTTAGAGACAGCTCCGCAGAGTTCATACTGGGGAGTGTGTCTGTATGTGTGTGTGCGTGTGTGTGTGCGTGTGGGCAGCGACAGTGACAGGGGAGAGTCTCCGTCCTGAGAGTTTGATCAAAGCCACAGAGCAGGGAGAGGAGCCAGCGCCTTTTATCTGTGAGCAAAGCAGATGTAAAACTGATATTGATTAATGTGGAGCGCAGATCTAAGTTACAGCGGGGACTCTCCTCCAAGCAGCATTTTCTTCTTATTAAAGTTTTAAGGACGAGAGTTTTTGGACTTGTTTCATTTGACATTCAGCGTTAAGCCACAATTCTGTCGCTATAGACTGTGGGACTGGTCTCATTGAGAATAAACTAATTCAACTCAAATTTCACATTATTCTTTAGAAGTTATTCAAGAATATAGGCAAGGCAAGGCAAGGCAAGTTTATTTGTATAGCACAATTCATACACAAGGCAACTCAAAGTGCTGAACAAGATAGCATTAAAATCATAAATGATCACAGAACATTAAAACGAAAGATAAAAATATAAAATCCCTCAGTTGTATGCACAGCTAAACAGCACCGTTTTTAACTTGGTTTTAAACATTGTCAGAGAGGAGGCCTGTCTCACATCTTCAGGAAGATTGTTCCAGATTTTAGCAGCATGAATCTGAAAAGCAGCCTCCCCATGTTTAGTTCTGACTCTGGGCACTAACAGGAGTCCAGTCCCTGTGCTCCTCAGAGTCCGGGCTGGTTCATATGGTACTAACATGTCACTAATATATTTTGGTGCGCAGGCCATGGAGAGACTTGTACACAAGCAGAGCTGGTTTAAAGTCTATTCTCTGAGCCACAGGAAGCCAGTGCAGAGACCTGAGGACCGGACTAATGTGGTCGTACTTCCTGGTTCTAGTCAGGACTCGAGCTGCTGCATTTTGAATGTACTGCAGCTGTTTTACAGCCTGTTTGGAGAGACCTGTGAGCAGGCCATTGCAATAGTCTAACCTACTGGAGACAAATGCATGGATAAGAATCTGCAGGTCTGCTTTAGACACTATGTTTTTGATCCTGGCAATGTTTTTTAGATGGTAAAAAGCTGCTGATGTTACTGATTTGATGTGGCTATTAAAATTTAAGTCTGAGTCCAGTATTACCCCTAGATTTCTTACCTTGTTTGAAGGTTTTAGGGAGAGAGACTGTAGATGACAGATGACGCTCTCTCTTTGTTTCTGGGGACCAAAGACAATCATTTCAGTTTTGTCTGCGTTTAGCTGAAGGAAGTTGTTTTGCATCCACTCACTGATCTGTTGGATACAGTGAAGGAGTGAGTCCACTGGTCCATGTTCTCCTGCAGTCAGTGAGACATAGATCTGAATGTCGTCTGCATAGTTGTGATAGGACACTTTGTTTCTGCGTATTAACTGACCTAACGGCAGCATGTAGAGATTGAACAGAAGAGGTCCCAGGATCGACCCCTGTGGCACTCCACAGGTCAGGGCCATATGATCTGAGACACAGTTTCCAATCTCCACAAAGTACTTCCTGTCTTCAAGGTAAGAAAACGCCATGCGCTGTTAGGATAATTACAGTGGTAAAAGTGCATTCATCAGAGACAATGATGGAGAAAAGGTTCTCAGCCAAAGTGCAATTATGCCCGAGAAAGATAATATATATTAAATATACTAGTCGCGGCAGTATCAACTATGGATGAATACTTTTTTCACAGCCTCTGATAGACAAACTGAGCTGAATTTTATGTATTTCTTTGTCTAATGGGCCTTTGTTTGTATAAGAATACACGCTAAGGTTAAAGTCAAAAATAAGGGAGCACATGTTTAAAAACTCAAAACAAACATAGATATGTCCCTGTAAAGGCTACATCTTGGACATGTATCAAACATTATGACAATGTATCTGCCCCTTTAAGTACCAATGGCTCTATTTATTTTTTATCACTGCATTTTGAACTGTGTATTTGATTCTTCAGAGATAACTAATACTCTTGTGATTCAGGCTATACAAAATACATTGAATTGAATTGAATTGAAGTGGAATGGAATGGGAATGGAATGGAATGGAATTGGACTTGAACCCATTGTATAGTTTGCACATTTACCTCCTCCTTCCTCCTCTTCTTGATCTGTGCTGCCTGCGCTTGCCTTGTAAGCACATAACGCTGGCCTCCAGTCAAAGTAAAGTGGATTCATTGACAAGGTGACAGAGCGCAGGTCGCCCACTTACACAAAATTTGGAAATTTAAGCCAAAAGCAGAAATTATGAGAGGAAATGGGTAAAAATATGTTCATTGTCACTTGAATGCAACATTGTGTGCCATTAAACAGCATGTGATGGTCGCACTCAAAAACACATTCATTCACCCTGACCCCGTTATACGTACAATGTTTTGAGAGGCATTGGAAATTAGAGCCACCTGGAGGAAACCTACACAGACAAGGAGAGACATGCAAACTTCTGCTGAGAAAGGCCCTGTCTGTATTTGGATTAAGAACCTTAGACCATTTTGAAGCAAAAACGACAATCAGATGTAGAAAACGTTTTTTGTAAAAATGAAATGAGTAAAATGTGTGTTAGTCTCCACAGTGGAAAAATTACAGTAACAAAAGAACATAATAATTAATAATATCTTATTTAGTTGCTGACACAATGTAAAAATGTAGTTATGGTAAGGTAATGTGTAGAGTACATGTGTGGTGCTAAAAAGCGCAATGCCACTCTAATCTTTAAGAATGTACATATAAAAGTTATGAAACTATGTGCAGTATATATTCAAAGACCGCAGTTGAATGAAGAGGGTACATCATTTGAACCCAGAGCTTCCATTTTGGTTTGAAGTCAATTAACCTGAACCGTCTCATGTTAAATGTCATCATAGTTTGTGTCAGGTAACAGAGAAAATGTTTCACTGTTCCATAAAGCAGTCCTTTTGGCCAACTCCTCATCTCAAGTTGAGAGCAAACGGTCATGAATGATGATGAGCTCAAAGTGCCAGATAATTAGTCCCCCGGGCCAGAGAAGCTACTGTGATAACAAGTTGTATAATCAAGAGCCTTTTGTATGGTAAATTCACATACAGTATGTGTTTAAAGAATATACACACCAGAAAACCAAATTCAATCATTTTTTTGCAATATGTTGGAAAGAAAATGGTCACCATACAAACAATAAGATTTCTGGCTCCTCACAACCCTGTCACTCCCTTCTTCATAGAGGCTCCTCTGTCTCCACTCGTTTAATGGCACCAGTTTTTGAATTTGTTACATATGAAAGACATCTGTCCAAAACCCAAACGTCACTCTCCAAACTCCACTGTGGCAAGACCAAAGAGTTTGTAGATGGTAAGACCTGCACCAGGCTGGAGACTGAAGCGCAAGAGGGAAAGCATCCTTGATTATGTGAAGAAAAGCAACAGTGGGAGCCCATTATTAGAAAAATGGAAGCCATACAAGGACCACTGATAATATAATTCTAGTATAGTTTCTTTCATTTCTTGTTCTGTGACCCCTTGCATGGGTTGTGTTGCTTCATGAGGCTATTCTTTCTTGAATGCGCTCTCATCATCTTCTCCTGTTTTAAATCCAGCTGCAGACTGCATACACCCAACAAATTGTTTCATTGAAGACATGTGTCCAAGACAAAAGCTGTCACAGTGCCTTCGTACTACAAAACACCTTGAATAATGGAGCCTCTGAATATTGTGTTGCTAGCTGTGAATTAAATCCCATTGCTTTGTGCCCGACCCTTTAGTTTGTATCACCTTCTTTGAAATAGTGAATGATTATGAATTAACCTCTATGCCTTGCAATAAAGATTACTTTCATTTGAAACACATTTGCTATTTTTCCCCTTGTCCCAAATTGTGAGAGCTCGGTGAAACAATGCCTAGATAAGCTCGGGAAAAATGGCTCTGCAATTTTTTAATTCACATCCATTCTCTGTATATCCACCATGACATCTACCCAAAGTGTTTTCCTATATGGCAAATACGGCTGTGCTTCACTAATAAATCATGAAGCTGAAGCTGTGGCCCAGAGCGTAGCTTGACGTGATTTTCAACAATTGGATTTTCTCCACTTGCGCATGTTTTTTATAATGTGGCAGCAGAACTATATGAGCACAGCGCAGGAACAATAACCCATACCCAACTATAACTCACAGTTATAGAAGCTGGAGTAACACATACACACCATAAATACTGTAATACAATCAACGTGGCCCAACTTTGAATCAAATACACACTAATTGTCAAAGGTACTACAACAAGTGATGGCAATAGAATATATTGAAAATGTCTTGTTTGTTGCATAGTACTGGGTATCCTAGGATTAATGATCGGGCTCTGCTTAAGGCTGCTTTTGTCACCGGTTTTCTATGATAAAAGCAGTAGGAGAAAGGGGTCCAGGTGGGGACTACATCACCTTTATCTATTTGTGTGGAGTTTGTGGAGCCCTCATGAAGAGCAGACCTGGGCGAGCAACAGACCTGAGTGCAAGTGACACGGAGGTGGGATAGAGGAATCAGCAACTCCACATTGAGGCCGTGAGGCACCACTGCAAAAAGGAGCCCTGCCTTCAGCAGACATGGAGCCAGTCAAGTATCTCAAGGTCTGAAGCGAGTGATTGACCGACCGGTTGGTGCGGCGGTGCAGTCCTA